GTAGTGCCTCCAGTAGCTCCATGTCCTTCTGCTGTTGGTGGCCCCAGCACAGGAGGCAGCACTGCAGGTGGGGTCTCAGGAGAGTGGAGCAGAGGGGCAGAATCCCCTCCCTCGACCAGAGCCCATGCTGCTCTGAGTGCAGAGAAGGTTGTGAGAAGAGGAGCCATGGGGGGCTGTGGGGATGCCTCGGGGGGGCACAGGGCAGAGGTAGGAGGAGCTTTGCCATGCCTGTGATGGCCGTGGTGGTTTTGGTGGGCAGGAGGTCCCCTGGCACTGCCAGCACCGGTCACCAGCACAATGGGTGACCTCCTGCTCTCTCACCCCAGCCCAGTTCCCCAGCCTGCAGAGCAAGATGCGAGTGGTGCTGAGGGTGGAGGTAGAAGCTGTCAAGTTCCTCAAGGAGGAGCCGAACCGCCTCGATGGTCTGCTCAAGCGCTGCAAGACGGTGACGGACACCCTCGCCCAGATCCGCAGGTGAGCCCCAACCCCAGCCCTGCAGCCCCTCAGTGCTCACCTTGACTGTCCCCCAAATAGTCCCATCTCCTGCTCCTTATGAGAACCTTGAAGGACACAGCTGGTCCCTTCAGTTGTCCCTGTGCTGCTGTCCTCTCTCTATTATGGATGCAAATCCCATGGGCTCATTTTTCTGCTAAGGAACTAAAATAAACCTCCCTCGGTCCTCTCCAGTGTGTACCTGGGAACTCCTCTTTCTAAACTGACTTTTCCTTATCACCTTGGAAAAAACCTTGGTCCTGCACCAAGCTAGAAAGACAACCCTTGGCATGGGCAGAAATCTCTTTCCTGAGGAGCAGAAAAACATTCTGCTGGAGAAAAAAAATCATCTTCTAGATGTGATGATAGCGACAGAGGCTGGGTTTCGATTGCCCCCCCCTGCCTCTTCCCATTAGGACATCTCTTGGGATGGGTCATGGCTTGGCCACGTGCGAGCACCAGGCTGGCCCCGGGCTCATTGCTCGCCTGGTTTTCTGTAGAAGTGAGTTTGTGTGATCACACGGTGTTTGAATCTGTCTACCTGTCATTCCCGTAAGGAATCCTGAATCCTAATGGCAATTTCAGCCAGATCTGATAGGCAGGATTTGGAGAGATCCCATTGCCTACAAGGTTCATGAAAATGGACAGCCAGGTAGAGGAGCTCCTTTGTGTGCTCCCCCAAGAGGGAGCATCAACTCCAACCCCTTTCTAGACATCAGAGAACCTAAACCTTCAGCCATATAATGCAGAGTTGCTGAATCACAGATTGGCAGGAGTTGAAATGAACCTCAGGAGATCATCTAGTCCAACCCCCCTGCCAAAGCAGGTTCACCTAGAGCAAGTAACACAGGACTGCATCCAGGTGGGTTTGGAACATCTCCAGAGATGGAGACTCCACACCCTCTCTGGGCAGCCTGTCCCAGGGCTCTGGCACCCTCAAAGCAAGTTTTTTGTGGTGTGGCTTGGAGAGGGTGCAGGAACCCACCCTGTACCGTGCAGCCACCCAATGCTTTCACTCTGTCCCTGGCAGGCAAGTGGATGAGGGCTTGTGGACCTCCTCCAGCAACCTCAGCCAGTCCCCCAAGAAGGTGGCCCCTGAGACGGACTTCAGCAAAGGGCTGGATCTGGAGATGCCCACCAGCCCCCCAGTGAGCCTCCATCACCTGACAGCTGCCACTGAGACCCTGGGCATGCCCAGCTTTGGGCACAGCCCCCCCCAAACCCAGACCCACCCTTCCAAGAGCAATAACCCTTCCCGAGCTCCAGAGATGGTACCAGCCAAGACACAGACAGGCCCAGAGACCCCCAGCAAGAAGAGCGTGGACAAGGCTGTATCCGTGGAGGGGAGAGTCTGGGGTGGGTTCCTCATCTGGGGGCTCTTGTAGAGGGTCTGTCTCTCTATCTCCCAGCTGAAACTGGGAACAGGAGCTGGGTCCATCCTCCTCCTTGCTGGGTTTGTAGCTGATGGGATGTCTAGAGGGTGGGGAACCCCAGGTGATGTGAGCAACCTTGGGAGCACCCCTCAATTGCATATCAGGAGGTGTGCAGCTTAGGGAAGGGGATCTCCCCAACTCCTCCTGGCAGCAGGACCATGGGTCACATCCTGCTTACAAGGACAGGAGAAGCTGTGGTGTGGATGTGGCTGCAGTGGGCTCTACCTGCTGTCCTCAGGCTGCCGAGCGGGACTGGGAGGAGAAGCGGGCGGCGCTGACCCAGTACAGTGCCAAGGACATCAACCGCCTCCTGGAAGAGACACAAGCCGAGCTGATGAAGGCCATCCCTGACCTGGAGTTTGCTGGCAAGCACAAACAAGCCACTGGCAGCGGCAGGACGCCCTCAGCACAAACCCTCCAAGCCACAGCACACACCGAAATCGGGGGGCAAAGGGGACCCCAACGGCCGGCGGGGCTCAGGTACGGCGTGGGGTCCACCTCCAGATCCCCAGCCTAAGGGATCCTTGATCCTGCATGTGCCCTGGCCGTGCTGTCACTGGTAGGTCCCCTTGAGCTGAGCAATGTCCCCAAGG